CAATTTGGTAACATTATCATACTTTTCGACACTCTTTGTAGGTCCCCAGCAGGCCCAAAGATTCTCTGGATTCCGTATCTTCGAGAAAACAGCATTCCAGGTGATGGTTCTCTGCCCAAGAAAGGGAGGAAGGATGCCATTCTGTTGACCTGGAGATGGAATAAGCATGAGTGATGACCAGACTAGGTTGTTACCATTATCGTAAAAGGCTGCTGCTGGGGGAAGCACAAGATCAACTTGCGTGGCTTGACGAGGAGAGTCGATGGCCAGAGGCGATGGATTAATGTACACGCGTTGCTCATTATCTGGACCATAGAATCCAGTGTTGTTGATGGTGTCTTTCGAAGACCTCCTTGAACTCCTTCAAGTAGTGCACGGGTACACTCTCTTCCACGGTTCGGGGCTTCTCGGCGGCGTAGGCGGCGGCGGCCAACTTGGTGGCCACACTCTGCATGGCCCGGATATGGGCGGGTGTGTTCGGTCCCTCATCGTATATCCGGGTGACGAAGAGGTGATCCCCTTTGCTCAGGGGTTCGTTGTCCTCTTCGTCTCATTGTTCCAGTAATCGGGCCCTTTTCCACTCGGGCGGGCATCGGGTGAAGGCGATCGCCCCTTCACGCCAGTCGATCACGGGGTTATGCTTTTTGAGCCAATGATGCCCGATGATCATGTCACTGTTCCCGGTGTCCGTGATGGCAAACGTGAGAAGTTCAGAGTGATCCTGAATGGTGACCCGCAAGCGGGTGACATGGGTGATCGCCCTGTCAGCGTTGATCGCCCCGTCAGCATTGTATACCGGGACTTGGGAGTCCTCCACGAACCATTTATGCATAAACTCGGAGGTGGCTCCACTATTGAGGAGAGCGTCGACTTCACTTTTCCGAAAGGGGAGAGCATCTTGTAGCTGTCGCAGGGCTTCGGCCACGTCGGGGGCATACCTTGTCGGTATGAATTCTTCTATTTTGGGCCCGTTCTCTGCCCGTCGGGCCGGGTGGATCCACTGTTGTAGTTTCGAGCGGGCCTTGTCGGGCTGGTCTCGAATCTGAGCAACGAGCCTTTTGGCACTGGCCGCGGGCCAGTTCTTCCAAGCGGGCCTTGGAGTATTGCGTCAGACTTTGTGCGGACCTCTCTTGCGGGGCGGGAACGGTGGATTGCGGAATTCTTTGTTCGGAGTTGATTTCTACGTCTGGTCCCACGTATCTCTGGATTGGCAACACGGAATATCGATTATGCGGGTTGTAACTAGAGACACTTGTGGTATATGTCGGCGAGGGCGTAGGCTTCACTCGCGACGATCGCCAAAATCCGCTTTATCGGCGTTATCTTTGATAAACTCTGAGAAGATGGTGCGAATCTGGTTGGCCGATGCGGCCCGGTTCGGGCACATCTGGCTGATGTGTCCTTCTTGGCCGCAGTTGTAGCAGCGAGTGCTGCGGGCCGTAGCGGGGCCTGGGCTCGGTCGATCTCCATAGGCGCGGGCCCCATAGCGGGCCCAGCGACCGTGGTTGCCCTGTTTCCTCGGGGTGCAGCCACGGTCGGTCCGGTGGCGCTGATCGCCGCGATTCGGGCCCATCCGTTGAATGGGTTGCGGTTGCTGAACCCGCTCTTTGCGGGGGTGGGTGCCCGACCCGAACCGTGACATGTATGAATATTGGTAGGAAATATATACTCACCGTTCTTCAACTTTTACACAGACTTCTTATTTTTCCTATGAGGAAATAGTATTGTGAATAGTCAGCAGCAATGGATTCATAGTCATTCATACTCTTGCTAGAGATATTGGTATTACTATTGTAGCTGGTGATAGCCAGCAGTAAATACTACAGAAGTATCCATATCTTTGATATTGATGTCTATAGTGCTACAGAATGCTATGGAGCTTCAGAGATGTCTACTATAGCGCTATAACAGCTATAAGGCCATCAGGCTGGACCGGCGGCACCGACGCCGTCATGCCCCAATTTCCTCTGAATGCCTTGTTCCCACTTTCCTGACAATGACACAGATAATGACGTGGCTGTGCCATCATAGTGCATTGCCCTGGCGAGTGTCTGCGTGTCACTGTGCTTGTTTGCGCATGCATCCACCATAGATGTCGCTTTTGACTCCTCATCCAACAACTTCCAGGTTCGAATTCGCAGATTTCATTTCATTTCGCCTACAGGTGCTTATCTCGTGCTTGCCGTTTCTTCTTTTACTACTTTGTTTCTTGTAGCCCATTGCAGTGCGCAAGACACCATATGCCACGCTAGCTTATCTGTAGCGAAACATCAACTCTTTTGTGGTTGGTCAAGAACTCATAGAGATATAGCCCTAACACTGTGTTAAAAACTCAGGGTTGGGTCAGTAATTTGCATTTCCTGACCTCACTATTGGTTTTCAAATCAAAGTCTGAGCTGAACAGTTACATCTATGAAGGGTCTCTACAATCCGGTACCATTTATTTATTAAAGTGGAATTCTGCGGACTTCCCCCTGGCAGTTAAGTTAGAGTGCAACTTGGGAGTTGAACTAGCCCTAAAGTTGATTTCCGCGGATTTCCACTTGGCAGTTAAGTTAGACTTATTAAATGGTTCAAGCTTGACTTGAACTGGCCCTAAAGTGGAGTCTGTGGACTGACACTTGTGATTTTTCACTTTGCTGCATTTTGTGAGCCAACCAGTAACAATTAGGCTTAGGTCTAAACTAAACCTAGTGTTCAATTTGTGACATCTATCACCTCAGAAAGTGGGCAGTCATTTTAAAGGCTGGCAGTTCATTACTTTCAAGTCTCAACAATCAAACTGAACCCAGTGGTCAATCGGTAATATTTATAACTTGGCTGTCAGGGGAACCCCCCTTTCGGCCCCTCGGAGACACGTCCGATTCCGGTCCAATTCCAATGGTGTTTCCGGTCCAACCCTCCATCTTGTCCGCACAATCACCGACCCGTCAACGCCCTCCCAATGGTTGCCCTGGGACCTTGCCTGCGATGCTGTGCAAGCCTTCTGTGCCCTACAGCGGCAGCTACGGACAAGCAGTATATAGTCAGCTACCTAGCAGGCGGACCCTTAGAGTTTCTTCTCTTTGGATCCTCCCTGCTAGGACCTTGATCTCAGGCCTCCGGGGTTGCCCTTACATTGGCAAAGTTGCTAGCCCTCAAGTCCTGGCAGTTAATTCCTATATTATTATATCTATATTTATGGAGCCGGCCTAGTAGCAGTCTATATGATTTTAGGGCCAGTCTTTATATTTTTTTCATATATAAGTCATTTATGGAGCCGGCCCTAAAGTGTGGAAAAAAAAAAGAAAAAATACCCTGAGTTGTCGAAAATGAAGTCAACATGAGTTGTGAATGCAGGCAGACTTGGAGTACATATCCACCAGATAATCCACTTGAGAAGACTTTTGTCATTTCCCAAACTCATAGCAGTTTTACTGAGTTGCCAATCAGGTGTAGTGGCTGAATGGGAGGTCACTACTCTCCCATCAGCTTAGTGGCAGTCTTGAGAAAGACTGCCAGACCAAAAGAAATACCACAACACAAAAAGACAGCTACTCACAAAACTACTGACAAACTATGACCAGCAGTCTTAGACAGTGATCGACCAAGGGGCAGGGGCCCTTGTCTCATAAGGGCCCTTGGGGGCCTTTCACAAGGTCCTTGCCTCTTTGGCTGACAGTCTAAGGACCTTGCAAGGGCCTATGATGGTATCAAATAGTGTGACATTTGTGACAATACCGGAGAAAAGACCTCTTAGAACATCTATTTTTCATCTTGATTGAAACTTGGTCTCAAGAATACCTTATCATAGTATACAAAAGAGGTAATTATATATTAAGGCTAGGGCTTGGTTTATATAGGGGTGTTTGTAAACCGGTTTATAAACACCCCTGTTTTATATGTTTATAAACAGCCTGGCTGGAAACCCCTTGTTTTATGGTTTTATATTAGTAAGCACCCAAAAAGGAAAGAAGCTAGCAAACCAGACTTACTTTACACCAATATTGCTTGTATATACTGCTAGTAGGTTTGATCATATCTTATAGGTCTATTATAATATATTGTTTCTTATCAAGTAGGATCTCAACCCATTTTCGGCTAATATTGCCATATTGATCATGATTAATCCTAGTAACTATTGGGAGCTTGGGTATGTGACTATACTATACTAACCATACAGATTAATTATTATCAAGGTTATCATGATTTTTAAGTGTTCTAAAGAATTCATGACAGGGGTTCTAAAATCTGCTGATAAGTAAATTATACATATTATATATAACTAATTCATGTTATGCAAACTTACAAGTGATAGTTGATATAACCTTGCTGTTTCAACCCCTAATGTCTATAAATCTCAAAGTCATGAAGTTAAAACACCAAAATTTGCTGCAAAAAGTTTCCTAAAAACGCAATTTTGATCTCTCCGGTCATATCGGCTCAGTTGGTTTATAAAACCTAAAAACCGGTTTATAAACAGGGTTTCAGAGGCTATTTTTATCAAACCGTTTGATAACCTCCAAAATCTTTACAAACCAAGCCCTAATTAAGGCACAATATATATATATTTATTTTGTTTCCTCGCCTGGCCTAAGGGCCCCTTGCTCTGGACCCTTGGAAAGGGCTCTTGGGCCTTGCAAGGCCCTTGCACATCTCAGAGCTGAAAAAGGGGCCGATTGAGCTCAGCTTGGAAGGTGTTGAACCAACCTTGCTACCCACTGGTTTACCATAGCACATTCTATCTCCGCCAATTTAATGAAGCACAGACCAGCTAGTCCCACTTTCACTGTCTCCCTCAGAACCCACAATAGGAAGAGCAGGGTCATTGAAGCCAAGCTGCTCTTCCATATATAAGCCAGGCCCACCCCTCAGCCAACCCCAGCAACAAATCGCGCATAGGCGTGAAAAACCCTGTCCACAATTTCGCGCACTCGGACTCCGCGGAAAGTGAGGACTCCCCCCCTGTTCAAGTTCATTACAATGAATAGTACTAGGTGCTACACATCTCCATTCCAGACTCACTGCCCGGGGACATACGGCTTGCCGTCCTTGAATATCAGGTGCGGCTTGCGGCGCGCGAGGTCGAGGAGCATCTCGCCAAAGTAGCTGTTCGCCCACGCGAACCACGGGCGCGTGTACTGCGACGGGTCGACGACCGACTGCGACTCGTGGATCAGCCCGAGCCCCACCGTGTTCTGCAGTCACATCAGCATTGCGGGAAGATAGAGCAGCGGACGGGCGCACGTTCGCGATGAGGTACAGCGAGGTGAGGATCTCGGTGTCGCTGTCCGTGCCGTAGATGGCGCTGATCTGGGACATGGGCCAGGGGTGCACGACGTCCACGTGCGGGCCGCTGCGCCAGGGTCAGCCAACCAACCAGTCACGCGAGCCATGAAACGACGCACCCGATGCCGCGGAAGCTCTTCCCCTCCGCGTAGTACGGGTTCTGGCGCGAGAGCAGCTTCTTCCGCGTGGCCACATACGCCGGATCATCACGCTCGAGGAAGCCGAGGTACGGCAGCGACAGCAGCGACGGCACGTTCGCGTCGTCCATCTCATATCGCGCACCCAGCCCGTTCGTCTCGTACGCGAAGACATTATTCAGCAGCGTGTGCTTCCACACCGCGTCACGTGTCCGCTTGCTCCACGTCCCTGCCTGCTTAGCAATGCCCTGCCCGCGCGCGGTCTTCGCCTGGCCCGACGCGCTGAGGATGCTGGCCAAGTTGTTGAGCTCGACGGCGAGCATCGCGTTGGCGGGCGTGAGGAACGCGAAGGTGGAGAGGTCGTCCGAGGGCCGGTGGTGCGTGCCCACCATGCCGGTGTACCCCTTGGGCTCGCCGTTCCCACGGTTGGCGACCTGCGGTGGCAGCGCCCGCGGTTGGCCCGTCCAGTTGTAGTACGAAATCCAGTTGAAGTTGTCGTCAAATGTGGCTTGCGACTGCTCGTTGATCACGCGGAAGATCTGGTCCACCGCGTCGTACCCTGTGTGTGCATAAGAATCAATGTTATATTCGGGGCAAAGCATGCACATTGCGAGTCCATGAACGACCCGTCCTTCGTGGCATCATAGTATCCGCGCGAAAGCTTGAGGAAGCCGCACAACGAGTCGATCTCGTACTTGCACTCGAACACCGTCTGGTTGTTCACCGGGCTGAATGTGTCAGCACCCTCCAACATCTGTCTGCTGTCACTCACGGGTTCACGGTAACATCATCCGCCCAATCGTTATGGGACGGCGCGAGACCGGACTCGGGGGGCGGCTGGAACGAGCCGCAGTAGGGATATTCGGCGACGTAGCGCGCCTCGTTGTGGATCACCGCGCGGACGAGTGTCGCGAGGTCCTTGTCCGCGGCGAGCAGCGGGAAGTAGACCGCAAACTGGTTCGCCGTGTCGCGCAGCCATTGGGCGCTGCGGTACGGTCAGCTGGCAGATACGGGGGGAGAGAAGAGCAGCGTACGTGATGTCACCGGTGATGATAAACGCGAGGTTTTGGGTGGGGTTGTAGTACCGCACAGTCGTGTCGAGCGTGTTGGGGAACGTGTTCTCGAAGAGGCGCGCGATATCGGGGTCCTTCAGGCGCGCGGTCATGTCCGCGACGACTTTCTGCCACGTCATCAGTCATCCCTTTCGGCGGGGGAGGAGGATAAGAATAGTGCACCTCGACGGCGGAGCTGTTGAACGTCCTACATTCTGCACAGAGTTCGCATTAGCGCGGGGGGGGTGGATGGGGAAAAACAACGGCTCACCGGGGCTGGGCCGCATGAAGGGCAGCTTGAGCGGGCCGCTGGACGGGTTGCCCTGTGCTTTCTGCAAATTCCCAAATTCCCGATATATCCCATCCTTCCAACAGCCAACGAGCGACGCACCTGGGAATAGCTCGTGTAATCCGGGCACGCTCCCCACGCAACGGGGAGCACAGCGGCAGCGGAAGCAGCGACGGCAGCGGCGGGCGAGAGCTTCATGGCGGTGGGGAACCGCTCCGCCCACGCGAGGGCCGTATATAAGGGCCCCAGCGGCAGGGCCAGGGCGAGCCACATGGCGTGTGTGGAGAAGAGAAGAGAAGCGGCCGGGGCGGTGTCACGCGCACGCCCCACATGACACGATGCCGTCACACCCCCGCCAGCAACGCACACCCGCTCTCCCGCCGCGAGCGGGCGGCTCCGTGCGCTTGTCGGAGCCGGAGGAATGCTGGCATTATGCTGCTGCAGCCATGGTATCGAGTGCATGCATCTACGCTCGCCCACAACTTGAAACGGTGGATGCATACCCACACCCTGCCTCAGACAGCGCCGCATCCCGACATGCCGACAACGCGACATTCAGAAGCTCTCGCCGCCTGGGGCTGATAGTGTCACCGGACGTGTATCGTACGCGTGATGCATATCTGGGTGATCATCGCAAGTTGCCGTACAACGACGCGGCTGGATACACCGCGGGAGTGATGGCGGAGCTCAGAACACGTGCCAGAACGCCGCACGCGTCGGCGGGTCGCGGGAGGCAGAGCAGCCAGCGCACGAGCATCGGCACGAGAGTGACTACAGCGCGAGCACCGGCCGGGGCGGCGTCGTTCCGCCTTCGCCCGCCCATTCATACCGCTCCATGCGGTGAGTTTGACGACTATGAACTTGAAGATGTGTGGATTCAAGTTCCTGATTCGCTATACCTACTCACGATGTGATACCTTTGCTTTATGACCTGGAAATACCTGCTTTGTGTTATGACAGAACCAATATTACTTGCGGGAATGGAACCGCAAGAAAAAGCAGCAGCGGCCGCCTTTTCCGCCGCTCCCGAGTACTTCGACTCGTCGATGAGCGTCGCAGCTACTCCTGCGCCGCATTTGTCGGCTGGTCCCGCCCCGGCTTGTTCAAGCCATGCTGTTTTCTGCTCCAGGCGGTGCGCAGAACTCGCGAGGGCACGGAAGGCGGGGCGAGGGGGAAGTGGAGATGCCAGGCAGTAGCGCAGTGGCTATATTGAGACAACCTAGTAGTACGCAATGTCAATACTTCAGCAAAACTGACCGCCAACGCACCGCAGTTGGGCTGAATGCTGACAGACGAGCGCCGGCTCGGTCCGCCCCAGCGCCAAAACCACCTTCGCCCCGGCCCAGTCTCCCCTCTCCTCGTCGGTACATGCGCGCGTGTGGTGTGCGAGGTGAAGGAGCAAAACTTGCTGAGGCTGTGTGGATATCCGCTCGGCCCTCGGCCCTCGGTGCCGGGGAGCCTGGAATCGAGAGCAATAGAGGGCTCGGGACCGCCCTTAAAACACGGCCCGGGTCCTGCCATAAGCATGTACGAGTCGTCGTGCGCACGGATACTAGTAAGGACGGCGCGGTGCTGATGGCGGAATGCGTGCAAAAGCATCCCCAGTGTGCGCAGAGCAAGCGACGGCAGCGGGCCTCGACGGGAAGTGGGCGCCACTCGACGAACAGCTGCAGTCGAGAGAGCGGGGCACCAAGATGACAGTTTCAAGACTCAAGAGCCCGCCGGGGAGGAGATGGCGGGGAGAAGCAACGCTGTGCAGCGGAATCGCCGCTTGGCGCACGGACCACGTCCTGGACACGTGCACACGAGCATACGTAAATTTGGAAGTTCTCCGTCCGTTCTCCGGCACTGCACAGGCTCACACCGCCTTGCACACCGCTCAAACCGCACAGCCTCCAAGTGCAGGTCCAGGATCCTTGCTTTTGATTTGCTTTTCTTTTCTTCATACTGCTCCCAAGGGGGTGTCACGTGTCAAAAAGTGATAACAGGCATGAGACCCTTAAAATTTTTTTCTGTGGAAACTTTTTGGCTAAACTTGTAAGTCAAAATTGCCTTATGGTGGGTTACAAGTACTGTTTGGTGCACTATATAGTGTTGATCATCTCACAAGAGGTCTTTCTTCAGTAGTCATGATCAGATAGGAGATCGTACCAAATCAGGTCCTATGGGGAAGCATGTCCATACATTGGAGTGAGATAAGTTAGCAGTCTGCTCTGATCCACTAGGAGAAAGGAACGGGGGCTGGCTCCAGAGGAGCCAGTCCTGATCTAGTGCTGGAGACGGTTGGTTTGACCAGTCGGGCACACAGATGGTGGTAGAGTGATGCGATGTTGTGCCTCGAGGCGCCCGCTGGGCTGATTGTATATAGTTTTATCTAATCTACTCTCTTGTCCCCATCTTCAAGTTGCCCCACTTCAGCGCTCACACAAGTGCGCGCTAGTAGGGGGAAGAGTCGGGAGCCTGAAAGGCAGGCGCGGACCTGCGCGGAGGTCCGGGCCGGCGCAGGCAAAAGGGTGCGGAACGGACTTGGGAAGGCCCGAGGGTTCGGCAGCCTTGAGCGAGAAGCCCAGGCCTGACCCGCCAACTCTGAGTGTGCGGAGAGAAAGAAGGGGGGAGCCTGCGGGCTGCCCAGAGCTCGCACACACTGGAAAGGAAAAGGGAAGCGGTGGGTGGGGAAAAAGACGCAGACTCGACAGATGTGACAAGGAGCAAAGAAGGAAGAGAATATTGGACACGTGACTAGCTACTTGACACCTCTGTAGCTAACTTATCCAGCGATAACCTTGAGCCGCTCGTGCCTCGCGTCAAGGTTATCTCGAAATTTAGAAGATAATGACAACATCAGAACTTCGTGTACAACATATAGGTATAGCTAGGATTCTATATTTCTATTAATATTCTTAGAAATTCAGAGGACTGACTCAGTTTGATGCTATCAGATCACATGACCATGTGAATTGCCTTCCCAATATAGCGGTGTCATGTCACAGTCACAGTCAGTGGGTCTCCTGTAAAGGCTTAAACAAAAAGTCTACTGTAGCATTTTACTCAGTTTGTATGTCATGTGTCACACTAGCTATAAAATTCGAATTTTTCGCATGTCACACTATTTTGCTCGAAAACCAACCCCAGTGTGCTTGGTTGCGTGTTTTGGATGGCCTTGACAAACACTTTTGATCAATATGCTCCACATTTCTGGTATCCAATCGGCTGTTTGCAGCACAGTGAGTGTCACAGCTTCTTTCCCAGGCTGGAAACATCAGCACATTTCATACTCCAATCCATTTTTGTCTTCAAAAAATATGCTGTGAGGCCTTGTCCTCTGATCAATGGAAGAAATATTATCAAGTCAAGCATGTGCGAGTCCAAATACATGTCCAAGTCAGTGATAGCTTCAATCGTTGGTCCACTGCAAGCCCAAGAATGACCCACCGATAACTATCTGCCGGAGACCACTGCACCATTGCAACAGTTCTGCCTGGAGTTCATCTGCACTCAGAAAACAACCCAATGGGCCCAGGCTTCCCATTTGCCCTCTGGGAAGGACAGCTCCTGAGGACCAAATATGGACCCTGAGACTTTCGAGAGTGGGCGGAAGGATGGTCGGTAGGCTGGTGAGGAATCGGCAGGCCTGGAACGCTGTGTTAACATAATCCATGTGGCAGGAATCAGAACAGTACCTCGCTTGGCTGGGCATCATTGGGGGGCTCCCTCCACTGCTGCGCCACCCAGAAGTGGAGGGTGTGCAGGTTTGGGAAGAATGCAATGATCTCGGACCAAAGTGCACAATCGCCATCACACAACTCAACCACAGCGTGAGTTATCGTCTGCGGAATATACCGTCCGGTGCGCTTCAGGGCAAACAGAAGTCTGTCGCTGCGTTCATTCCCAATTTTCAGAGTGCGCAGAAACGGCGTGCGTGGAAGGAGTGCAGGCAACATTTGGCGGACTGTGGTCAGCTCGTGCACATGTGGAAACACACAAGCTGGTTCGCTCGCGGCCAGCTCTGTGTCGTAGTGCCTCTCGATCATTAGCACGCACAGCTGTTGGAGTCCAGGGAAGGTACGTGGCAGGTTTCCAATGCCAGAGTGGGTTAACGCCGATAGACTCTTGATCTACAATATGAGATATCGCATCCGTGGGAACACAACATCTTCGCGCAACAACCTAGCGAGACTGAGCAGGCGCTCGTCGATTTCCCAAATGAACTTGACGAGCATGGAGAGATCGAGGACATGAAGCCATGACCAGACATCCTCTTCTGGCTCCGACTCTCCATCCGCAAATCGAAAACGCAACTCAGCGACAGGAAGTCGGACATCTGGCAGTGCCCGGGCAGCTGCAGGAAATGTGCGCTGGGCCTCCGATGAGAAGGAGCAAGCAAAGAGATGCAGCGTAAGCAGGCCGCGAAGCCGTGCGAGATTGACCAGGGCTGTGGACGTGAATTTGAGGTGGGAAGCAATGAGTTGGCGAAGGCAAGAAAACTTGTCAATGACGGAGAACAGCAGGTTGCGCAGAGTGTGTGCGCCTGTGACAGCCACACTGAACTTGTCCTCCCGCTCGTCGATGTCAAAGTTGTGTTTACAGGGGTCGTAGCGTACTGGGCGGGAGATGTGCAGCACACGGACGTACGGGGTAATGGCGGGGGGACATGAAGAACATGAGCTTGGTAGTGAAATGCACGACCTGGGCTGGCGGTGGGAGGATGAGCGGAGCCTCTTCTTCGCCGAGCAGCAGATACGGCTGAAGCCCCAGCGTGGAATACAGGAATTGAAGAGCAATGAGGCGCAGGTGGTGGGAGGCAAGAGCGACACTTTTGAGTTCGTCGAATGGGAGAGCTCGAAGGATCTCATGGAGGAGTTCGTTAGGCAGCATGGCGGGGAGACGTGGGCGGCGAAAGTGACCCACGAAAAGGAGAAGGATGAGACGGATGGACGATTGATCGCGACTGTCTCGCCCTTTGTTTGGCCCCTCTTGACCGCCCCACAACATGTTTCGTCACCAGTTATTGCGACTCACTCGATGATGATGCCTCCCGCCAGACCATACCCTGCCGGCGTGCGGCTGCGCTCTGCCCGTGGGCCGTCTCTGTACTGCGCTTTCCCCCATCAATAACATATCTCAGCAACCATCACAACTATGGATTGTTTTGCAATCCACGCCATACCTCCTGAGCCCAGCGTCCTGCGCCTCCTCGCCACTCCCTGCCAGCGCCGTTGCTTCAACAAAAGTTTCCTGGCACGCACAATACTGCAGCGGCAGGATCCCGAACCTTCACTGTTGTAAGCCTGAGAATAGAACTATTGTCGAGCATATACACCTTGCGCTAGTGCATCGCGGCTCGACGCCGACGTGTACATGAAGGGAGAAGACAAGCTGTGTGCTTACGTGTCACCGGCGATCGGCACCGGGCCCGGAGGCCGTGACATCAATCTCATCGCCCTTCTCTCTTCCGCACCACCACGACGACGTCCTGCTCGTGAGATATTGCAGTCTACATGCCTTATAGTCCTTTCAACTGAAATTGCCTTTTTTGGCAAGCATCAATGATCTGT